CCCTCTCCCTCTGCTCCTCCCCTCGCTCACGTGCACGTTCTCTCTCTAAAATAAATATGTAAATAAAACCTTTAAAAAAAAAAAAGAGCAAGGATCTAAAAAAGGTCTTGCACAGTAATGATGATGGTAGCTAATATTTATGGAGCACTTCCTATCTGCTAGGCCCTCTATAAGTATTATCTCTATGTTTTCTTTTTAAGATTTTTAAAATTTATTTGACAGAGAAAGAGATCACAAGTAGGCAGAGAGGCAGGCAGAGAGAGTGGGGGAAGCAGGCTCCCCGCTGAGCAGAGATCATGACCTGAGCCGAAGGCAGAGGCTTTAACCCACTGAACCACCCAGGTGCCCCACCTCTATGTTTTCTTACAATAAGATTAGTTATGTGGGAACAATTACACTGATTCCCATTTTTGAGAAGGGGTAGACTGAGGCCCCTTGGGGCTGCCTGGCTAGAAATTGGCAAGCTGGACTTGAACCTGGCATTCTAGCTCCAAGCCTGGAGTTTTATGATGCTTCTGTTTTCCTGGAAGGTCCAGAGTTATGGTCAGTGGTGTCAGAGGTTGGCCTCTGAGCCCTGTGTTGCTTCTGTGTAGGGGAGGCGGAGCTGGTAGAGTGGTGGGTGCACCTCTTATTCCCTGCCAGGTTACTAGTGACAGCAAACAGCACTGTGAGCTGTTTCTTGAGCACATGTTCTGTGCCTGGCACATGGCCTCTCTCGTTTGAGTCTCTGATGTTAGGTGTACTATCATCCCCATTTTAAAGATAAGGAAGCTGAGACGCAAAGTGACTTGCCCAAGATTTTGCTAGTAAGCAGTGGGGGCAGAATTTGAACCCAGGCCTGACTGGATTCCTCCCTCTCAAGTCCTAATCCCCTGGCCTCCCTCTGCCCTTAGAAGAAGTGGAGGTGACGCTCTTCAGAGTAGGGGAAGAAGGGGCGGGTGTGCTGGGAGCGAACAGCAGTTTATCGCCCACACTCTTCTGGATGTTGTGAGGGTCTGTGTGCCTGGGGAGGGGGCATGGGCAGGTCAGGAGGTAAGGGAGAATGTGGTGCCCCCCAGCGGAGGGGCCATGGGAGAGCACAACAGCACCAACTGTGCAGGGCCTGGTGGACCCCGGAGAGCAGTTTGGGCCTCATCCAGAGGGGAGTCATGGGAAGCTCTTCAGTGTATGTGTGTGTGTGTGTGTGTGTGTGTGTGTGTGTGTGTGTCTGATTAAAAAACAATTCTTGACAATGTCAATTCTAAATGTCCCATGATATGATGTAAAGTAAAAAAGGCATTTTCCTCTCCCTGTCCCACACCTTTTGGATGAAATACTGTGAAGCATTTGGAATCCTTCCAGAACTTTCTCTGCACCTCGGACAGTAGATGCACATGCTCTCGCAAACACACATACACACACACGTGCCAGCTTCCTTTCTAGAACCACAGTAACTCATGCCTACTCCACGCCAGCACGGCACCAAGCCCATGGTAAACGCCAGCTCGTTTAGTCCTCTGACCGACGCCGGGACGTAGAGATTGTTGTTGTCCCCCTTTTCCAGTTGAGGAAAAAGTCCTGAGAGGCCCAGAGGACATTCTGCACTGGCCGATTTCTCTCTCTGGCGGCGCTGTGCTCTGGCTCCGGCTGGTTAGCTGTGCGACTGTCCCCGCGGTGCACAGGCGTCATTTGCTCACCTGGCCCCACTCTCACGAGCACATAGGTCATTTCCGGTTTTCCGTGGAGCACGCCAAGCAGAGAGGCCCCCATTGTTCACGTGGTTTACAGAGATGCCTCTGACTGCAGGAAGGTGGGTGCACCTGCTGGCCGGACTCCAGTGTCCAGGCCCTGGAAGACAGGTGCCCCACCCAGGGGACCAGTGCGGGGGTGGGGGAGGGAGATGTTTGAGGAAGACTTGGGGACTTGGGAGAACCAGCATGGAGACGGTGACACGGGCCGTGGGGCTAGGGCTACAGCCTTATGGGGAGACGCCAAGTTAGTCGGGGACCCCTGGAGCGTGAAGGGCTGGGGCGGTGAGGGGGAAGTGCTGCTGGCCGGCTTCCTGATGCTTCTCATGCACGGGCCCTCAGTCTGGGGACTGCGGTCAGGAGCCTGAGGTTAGGAGTGGCTCCCCGGAGGAAAGGGGCCTCCTTCCTCTGGGAACCTCAGGCACCCCAGCGTGGAGGCCTCACCACTTCCCCCGGGCCCCCCAAGGGTCTATCTGTACCTCAGAGTGTGTGAGTGGCGGAAGAGATGTGGGGATTGGTTCCTCTCCAATGGGCAACTCATGGTGACTTGGAGTTTGGGCCCCAGAACCAAAAGGCTAGGAGACAGGGTCCTGCCTCTGGGAGGGTGGTCTCTCCCAAGGTCACACAGCACAGCAGCAGCCCTGCAGGGACTAGACGCCACCCTAAATATGCCTGTCCTTCCTTGAGGACACTCTGCTCTGTCAAAGCTGGAAACTTCTGGCTTTTTCCAGGAGAACAGGCTGCCAAGGGCATCTGGCAGTTCCACGTGAGAGATGTCCTGAGGGCGAGGTAGGCCCACAGGTCCGCCTTGCAGACCCCATGAGCAGCCCCTGATTCCTGCCTGCCCAATGTGCTTCCCTGTCCCCTTTCACCCTCGAGGGATGACCTCGCAAAGTTCTTCAACCTCTCTGTGCCTTAGTCTGCTCATGGGTAAACCAAGAACGCCACTAGTACCTACCTTCTAGGTTATCATGAGAATTGGACTAATGAGGATTTGTAGACTGCTTGGAGCAAGGCCTCGCCCAGGTCCAGGCCCTGGGAGTTTTCGAATATCCAGGAGTGATACGTGGTGTCCACAGTGTGGCGTCGTAGGAACAAAGCAGGAGGCAAATCGTGTCTGTGCTCATTTCGTCTTTTGTCTGGTCTGCAGATATTTCCAGAACGATTAGTAGATGCTAGGTCTGTCCTGGCCCCCGGGGAGGTAGAGGTGGGTATGACCCAGGCCTGCCTCCAGGGAACGTGGGCAAGGGCACTAGATGGAGTCCTGTTTTGTTTACCATCATACGATCCCATGATGCCCAGCTGCTTGTCTTCCGGGGCAGGGCCAGCAACATGCCGCTCTGTCCTGAATGTGTTCCATATGCCTTCCTCGCTGGTTCTCCCAACAGTCCTGTGACATGCGCACTGCTGTTCTCCCCGACTGACAAAGAGGAAACTGAGGCACAGGGTCCCATGCTGGGGTGGCAGGGCCAGGATTCAAACACTCTGGTACTTAGCTTTTAACCACCACACGCCTGCCCCTCCATAAACACGTGTTACTTAGATAATCAGATTTAACCACAAAGACCAAAAACAAATAGAACAGAAACCCCACAAACTGAAAAACACTGCAACCAGAGACCAGGCCACATTTCCTGGGTCTTAAAAGCTCTCTCATACTTTTTCTGAGTGCCCTACTGCGAGTGGTATTGGTCAGTATAAGAGTTTGGGACCAAGAGCTGTTTTTTTTTTCCCTCAACCCCTCCCAAGAGGGAACATGCATTTTCTAGGTGCTGGGTAGGGGGCGGTTCCCAAGGTCCAGGCCTGGCTCTCCCTCTTTTGCCACAGCACACCAACCAATTGACTCTGTCTCCTTTCCTTGATTACCTCCAGTGACAGGGGGCTCACCCTTCATCATTTAGTTCATTCTAAAGAAAGTTCAGGCTCCTAGAGAGTTCTATCACTTAAAAACTTTTAAAAATTATAACTAAAAAATATACTTTTTATTTCCTCTGAGAGTCCCACAAACAAGTGTTCTGCTAGCACATGTGTCCTTGGACACAAGGCCTGGCCAGTTCATCTTTGTGTCCCTCTGTTAACTGACATATCACCTGCTGCACAGTCAGGGCTGTGAATGCTGTACCAGGGAGCCATTGGGTAGGGGATGCCGTGGTTGGGGCCCAGCTTTCATCAAGCCTGGGGCCGCGGGAAACTGGGTCAGTAGGACCCACGGGACATGGGCTGTATGAGTGCTCATATGACCCCAGTGGATTGGGTTGCCATAGAAATTGGTCTTTGTCCCCAGGCCTATTTGCTGGTCCCTCAGGAGGCCCTGGTGATCCCTGGGGCTGTTGAGGAGGTCTCCTCCTGGCCTCTCCAGCCCCACATTCTCAGAGCTGGATGGTCCCCAGGGAGCAGGCTGGCTGTGCCCACATTGTGAAGCCTGGCAGCATGAGGCCCGGGGGGTGCAGGAACTGGCTAAGGTTCCCGTAGGGAGGAGATCTTTCAGACCTGGGCTTGGTGCTCAGGGCCAGTGGTCTTGCCTAAGGCCTCAACCAGTCATGAGCACTTTCCTGGGGCATCTGGGTGGCTCAGTGGGTTAAATCCTCTGCCTTCAACTCAGGTCATGATCCTGGGGTCCTGGGATTGAGCTCTGCTCAGCAGGGAGCCTGCTTCCCTTCCTCTGTCTCTGCCTGCCTCTCTGCCTACCCCTCTGCCTGTGGATCTTGTGATATCTGTCTGTTAAATAAATAAATAAAATCTTTAAAAAAAAAAAAAAAAGAGTACTTTTCCCCACCCACGGTTTCCCAGAGGAAATTCTGGACTCATTCCAGGGCCTCCAGCATTTCCTGGAGAATATTCCAAACCCACCTTGCCGGTATGTCCAGAACTACACAGTAGCAGTAATAGCTGATGTGGTAGGGTGACTTGCCTCAATCACTTATGAGGGACCCAGATGACCCCATCATTTCCAGATGTAGAAATAGGGCACAGAGAGGTTAAGTCATTTGCCTGAGGTCACACAGCCAATTAGGGGTAAAGGTGGGATCTGAGTTTGGGGAGTCTGGCCCCAGAGCCTACCCTTAACCACCATGTCATACCCTGCCTTGCTCATGCTCATAACAGGCTTTGGGAGGGATGAAGGAAGAGAAGGTCTGAGAAGTTCTTAGCATTGGAACTTTTGGAGTCAGAGCCTGATAAAGTGTGACCCAAGAGTCAGAGCCATGGAGATTTCTCTTTCTAATCGTATCCGCACAACAGCCCTGAGAAGTCTGCTTTATCCTTGTTTTGCAGATGAAGACGTTGAGGCCCAAAGAGGGGAAGTGAGTTGCTTAGGGTCACATAACGGGGAGAAGTGGAGCAGGGCCTCTAGTCCAAGACCCCTGACTCCACACCTGGTGTTCGTGCTGAGACCTCAGGCTGCTTCCCAGGTCCTCTGGGACAGCCACTGCCTTCCACCAGGTGAGGTGATGATGCATCAGAGCTGCAAGATGAGGGAGGAGGGAGGGGTGATCTTGATGGTTGGGAAGACCCTGGCCAGGCTCACTGGGAATGGGGCCAACCAGGATCTATGGATTGGGAGGTAGGAGGCAAAAGGAGGTGGCACGGCAGTGGGCACCACTGAAGAGTTTTCAGTTTGCTTTTTTCTGAGCCATGTGTTATCAAGGAGAGGTACAAAAGTCAGGGGGACTTAGGCCAGAAAGGATTTGGGGAACACTTTCCAAGGAGGTGACTTTTGAGCTGAGAACTGAAGGAGGCATGAGTTATTCTGGTGAAGTGGTCAGGGAACAGCATTCAGGCAGAGGGAACAGCATGTGCAAAGGCCCCATGGCTGGGGTGAGCCCCCAGACATCTTTCCTTCTTCCAGCTTCCAGCTGTATCCCTGCCTTGGTTGCAGCTTTTAGCACCTTTCACCCTGGCGTGAAACCATTTCAGTCAGTCATGTGTTTGCTCGGCAAACCCTCAGTGAGTCCTCTCCCATGTGTTGTGTGCATGGGAGATAGACATGACTCAGATACTATCCCGGCCCATGACGGACAGAAACTGAGTCAGGGGGAGGTGGGGGAGGTTAGGGCTTCTGATTATGAGTCATTTCTTCTGTGCTTGGCCCTGTACCAAGGAAGCCATTTATGGGTTCCATCACTATCCCCACTTTACAGATTAAGAAACTGAGGCTCTGAAAGTCTAACTTAGCCAAAAAAGCCAGTACCCTTCTTTGGGCCTCAGTGTCCTCATCTGTAGAATGGGTAGGGGAGTGGAGACTGTCTAAAGGGCCCAGGCCCAGCAGTTCTTCACCCCAACGTGCTTTCTCCTCTCTAGCCAGGACCATGGGCAGCAACAAGAGCAAGCCCAAGGATGCCAGCCAACGGCGCCGCAGCCTGGAGCCCACTGAGAACACCCACGGTGGCGGCGGGGGCGCCTTCCCCACCTCACAGACACCCAGCAAGCCAGCCTCCGCCGATGGCCACCGAGGCCCCAGTACGGCCTTCCCCTCCGCAGCTGCTGAGCCCAAGCTGTTCGGGGGCTTCAACTCCTCAGACACAGTCACCTCCCCGCAGAGGGCGGGGCCGCTGGCTGGTCAGTGGGCCTTGGGAGTGTGGGCGCCTGTGGGCGGGGCCCCTCCGGGCTGCTGCTTCTCTCGCTGAAGGGGAAGAGTATGTGGGTTTCTTGGGTTTGGGGACTGTTGGGGGTTTCCTGGAGGTTGTGGGTGGGGAAGGGCTTTAGAAACTGGAAAGTGTGGTGCATATTCATTGCCTTTGAGGGCGAATCTGGAGTAGAGTATAAAGGGGTCTAGAGATATGGGATTTTAGTGGGGGAACTGAGGCCCAGAGGTTCAGGGGGCTGTTTGCCCAGGGCAGCGTGGGGACTGGGTCTGAGGCTTTGCTTTTTGCTTTTGTCAGCCCAGAGATGGGTCAGGTGAGGAGGCCTTGGGTGGCAGAGGGGGCAGGGAAGCCTAGGTAGGAGTTCTCTGGTCCCTGGTGGGGGTGGTGGGGGCGGCCCAACTCGGTGATGCACCTCTGCGCCCTCTGCTGGCGCTTCAGGGGTATGGCAGCCCCAGGCAAGGGATGCTTAAAGATGACGATGCGGTCCCAGAGATTCACAAAGAGCCAAACACAGTCAACAACTCCTAAGATTCCTACCCAGACACTTAAACAAGCTGAGCTGGAGACACCGTCAGAGATACTCACAGACACACCGTGTACCTAGAGACCCACTTCGGGACGCTCGGCTGGGCGCAGACACACAACTATGCAGACATAAGCAAATACAAACACACATGCACAATAACCCCAACTCCCAGATCGAGACGCACACAGGGTGCAGACACAGGCTCAGCTAGCCACACCATCCCCGACACCTAGAGGTTCCCAATGAATACACTTGCAGTGAGAACACACATGTGCACAGACACAGGGTCACTCACGGATGCCTGAGACACAGACACATCCCCGAGTGAGACAGACAGACCCACAAGCACACCCATTCCTTCGTGGTGCCCCTTCTGCGTGCTGGGGACATGGCAGTATGCAGATCATGGGGGAGAAAAACAGCAAGGCTTGGAAAATGTGTAGGGTGTTCGAAGGTGGGGCTGCTGGGAAGGAGCCAAAAGGGCAGGGAGGGGTTTGGGGGGAAGTGTGTGGGGTGAAGGTTGTGGCTAAAATGGGGGACAGAGACAGGCTCTTGAAGAGGATAGTACCTGGAGCCAAGATCCCCCCCAGATACATTGAGGCACCCAGTCACACGGAGAAACAGAATAACCCAGCCAGGGGCAGATTCCTTTATTCACTGGTTCATTCATTCGCCCATGGTTGTTTCTTGAGCACCTACTGTGTGCCAGGCTCTGGGAACAACACAAAGGGGCCTGTGATTGGGGGCTGCAGACACCGCGGGGAAGCTGGGCACTCCCCTGAATCCTCAGGATCAACCTAGAGCCCACTGGGGACATTCACGTGTGAAGAGATGCACACGCATCCTGTGTGCCCCCACGGGGGTGCCCAGACACATATACACAGGCGGACACACTGCAGGCCCAACCCCTGGAAGGATGACTGCGCCTCTGGGCTGGGCTGTGGTGGTTGTGGGAGACCCTCCTGTCCAGCCCTCTCAGGCCGTTCTGACACATCCCACCCGTCTCTGCAGGTGGAGTGACCACCTTTGTGGCCCTCTATGACTATGAGTCTCGGACAGAGACCGACTTGTCCTTCAAGAAAGGGGAGCGGCTCCAGATTGTCAACAACACGTAAGTGACCCCCTTCCCCACCTTCTCTTGGGACTCTATCCCCTGGACCTAGTCTTGGGCCGGAGCCACTTCTGAGCATCCCAGAGCCAGGGGCAGTGTGATGGGCAGTGGGCCTGGCTAGTGTCACGGCTGGCCGAGGTCCAGGGAACCATCCTGGCCTGATGGGATGATGGGACCGGTGGTGCCGGTCAGGGCTCCCAGGGCAAGGGATCCAGGCTCAGTAACTCAATACAGCACAGTGTCCCAGACTCAAAGAGGGGCATACAGTCAGGGCAGGATGGGGCCCAGGACCCAGGACTGCAGAAAACAGAGCCTCAAGCTGGAGGCTGTGCCCTCAGTGGTGCCCTCTTTAGGGACCTGGGGTTGGAGGGCCTGGACAGGCTGGTTGAGCAGGAGTCTCTAGCTGTAGGGGGTGGGGCCCAGATTGGGAGGGGGCAGGGCCTGCATACTGGGCGCTCAGAGTGAGGGGCTTATAACTGGGCATCGGGATGAGACGGTGGGATGGGGTGTGGATGTCCGGTTCACCTCCAGAGACTCCAGCCTTGGGGTGGGACATCCTAGGGCCAGGCCGGCCCTGGGGCCCCTGTGGGCAGGGGAGCAGAGGCAGTGGTGAGGGAACTCGTGAGGCATGGGTAGGGCTCTAGCCACAGGGTGGGGGTCAGTCCTCTCCCCTTTCCTCTCTCCTTTCCCTGTCAGGAGCGTACGGGGGATGGGGTGCAATGCCTGTCTTGTGGGGTGCAGGCTCTGGGTCATGTGTCCAGTGGAGAGGGGTGGGGAGCAGCACAGTGAGGCGGGGTCGCTCCTGCAGGCACTGCCAGTTTAGGGGGCAGAGCTCAGCACCTCCTGCATTCCTGCCCTTGGCAGGGCCTTGTGTACCCCCACATCCCATTGGACCCCCCCCAATTCCTGGCTCCTGCTTGCTCCCTCCAGCCCCCTCTCAGCTTCTCCCTCTCTCTGCTTCTCTCTCGCTGGCCCTTAGGAGGAAGGTGGATGTCAGGTGTGTACACATTTCATAGGCGGTGGGCTGGGGTTGGGGGGCTTTGCTGGTCGGGGGTGGGGGTGCTGCTGTCTGCATGTGTCTCCACTGCATGTCCCTGCCTGCGGATCCTGGCTGCCCGGGCTGCCCCCCTCCAGCTTCCCCAGCTGAGGCCCTCCCCTCAGCCAGTGCGACCAGATCCTGACCTTGACCGTGGGCTGAGGCTGGGGAGGGTCCTGCCATCCCCCTGTCACTCACTGCATCATGCCTCCTCCCCATCCACCTTCCTGCTAGCCTGCCCACTCTCCATCCTGCCGAGTTGGCCTGCGCTTAGGGCCAGCTGCATGCAGGGTCCGGTGCTGGCCCTGTGAGGTCTGCGGGGAGAAGGGACCTTCCCAGAGCCAGCCTGGCTCGGGGAGGTTGGTGCCCAGCTCCGGTCCAGACCCAGTGACAGGCAGAGGGCAGGGCCAGGGTCTGCTCGGGCATATGGTCCCTGCTATGTGCCCCCCACTGTAGTGGGGACTGCAGGGACTAGAAGGTTCAAGCAAGTCCTCGAAGGAAGGACAGTGATGGTCTGTGGCTGGTAGAAGAGATGGAACGCAGTCCCTCTCAGAAGGGCAGCTTGTGGGAGGGTGTGGGGCTGGGAGGGGTGGGGTACCCTTAGGCGTGTGGAAAGGCCAGAAGGTGCTAGGGATAGCGTAGACTTGGTCCTTTAGCATCCTCAAAGGCCTGGCTAACAAGGCTGGACATCAGCAGCTCCGAGTGTGTCTCGCTCATTCATGCCTCCCGACTCTTGTGCATGCTGTTCCCTCTGCCTGAAACACCTTTCTCCCGTCTCTGCCTGGCAAACTCCTATTCATCCTTCAAGATCCAGCTCCGGATGGCCTTCTCTGTGAGGCAAAAGGGAAAAGAGGTGCCAGGTGCTGTGCCAGGCGTTTCTACCCATGTCCTTGTATTTACGTCTCGATGCAATCCTGCCAGGGCTCTGGTGACGGGGGAGGGGCTGTCTCCATTTTGCAAGTGAGGAAACTGAGGCTCAGAGATGTGAAGGCCCTTGACCAAGGTCACACAGCTAGCAGGTGGCAAAGCCGGGATGGGAACTTGGGTAGCAGCTCTCTCCCCATCTTTCCGCCCCTTGTGTGTCGGAGTCCTGGTGCTCCTTGGTGCCCTGGCAGTTCCAGCGGTTTGCATCGGCTTCCCCAAGACTGGGAGCTCCTGGGGGGCTGCTCTCGGGTCTGCCACCTTCATGGGTCCCCAGATCACCTGTTGCTCAGCACCGTGGGGGCTGCCTCCCTGGACTTGTCGAGCAAGATGACGACTAGCATTCATCCCCCGTTTCCTGTGCCCCATGTGCCAGCCTGGTGTCGTGGGGACCCCACAGCCCTGGGAGCTGGAAACTCTGATTTGCTTTCTTTTGTGCAGGAGGAAACTGAGGCCCCGGGAGGTGAGGTGACTTGTTCGAGGTCGCACAGCTGGTGGTGGCAGAGCTGGGAGGGGCGGGCAGGTCCTCCTACCCACGGCCCTTGAAGGAGGGGCTCCTTAGCAGCCCAAGGACCCTGGAGGGGAGGAAAGGGCCCTGCAGGGGTGTCTGCTTCCGGGGAATCTCTCCCCGCAGTGATGGGAAGGGCACCTCAGGCTGGGGCCACAGCTTGAGCAACCAGGGTGTGGTGGGGGGGAATGCTCTGGAAGCTTTGGTTCTGCCTCTTTCACCTAGAGCCAGAGGGCTGTCCTCCCCTGTCCTTTGGCCCCTTCCCTCCCTTCTTCCTGCTTTCCAAGTAGGGCTGAGGGTGTTGGGCCAGGCCTGGGGCCACAAGTGGTTCAGTCCTGTCCATGGGAAGTCCTTGGATAGCAGTGAGGCGCCATGACTGGAGAGGGGGACCGGTGCTCAGCAACCCCTTTGCCTGAGAAGTCAAGTGGTGTGGGGTTGGGACAACAGAGGAAGGGGAGGGGTGGGGAGCCCTTAGTGACAGATGAGTCACCCAGATTTGAGGTGTTTAGGCCTCATAGCCACCCAGGCACTACACTGCATGTCCTTCCCCCATTGTTGCCTAGGGCCCACGATTTATTCCCACTCCCGCCACCAGCCCTGGCCCAGTCTGAGTGAGGGACTTCCTGAGGCTGGCTGGTGGCTGGACTGGCTGTCGGGAGCAGGAGAGCTTAAGGACTAGTCTGCCTGTCATTAGGGTTTGGCCAGGGCTTACTGGGCCTGGGTCCTCACAGTAGCCAGCCTAGGGACCCTGCTCCCTGGATCTTAACACCTAATGGCCCTGGGTTGCAGAATCCCACGTGCTATGTGGCCTGGATCTGAGGAAGCCCACCGGGATCTGATGTCTGACTGTCCCGGACCCCCAGCCCGGGTGTCTGAGTCTCTAGGAGTTGGGGCCCTTCAGGTTCCGACTCTGGGTTGTTCCCCAAACTGACATTTCCTCCAACCCAGACTCCAGCAGCTTCTTTGGGGGAGCCATCGGGCAGGCACTGATGTCTCCCCCCTTGTTCTCCAGTTCCACTTCCCACCCTGGGGCAAGGGATACGTTTTCACCCTCCCCACGCAGCTTCCCCTGGCCTCAGCCTGCCGCCGCCCTACTGACTGTGGGCCCGGGGCCTCAGGGAACCCTGGCTTGCCCACAGTCCCCAAAGTGCTTGTCTGACCAGTCCCAACAACCCAAGGGACTTAAATGTAAGTGCCCAAACCAGAGTAACTTCCCAGGTTCTGAAGCTGCCATATCCCCCATCTACACACCAGCCTGGCTGGCTAAAGGATTAGGGTCTGAAAAGAAGATCCTGAGGCTCAGAGAGGTGAGGTCGGTTGTCTGAGGTCACACAGCTAGTGAACAGCAGCTGGGAGGTAAAACTGTAGCTGGAGGACCCCGATCCAGTGCTTTTCTGCCGGCCACCTGTGGGAAGGTGACGGGTATGGCAGGAAATGTGTTTTATTTCCTTCCTTCCTTCCTTCCTTCCCTTCTTCCAGTCCATCTGATAAGGACCAGGACCCCGGGGAAGGCACTGCCTATAGTAAGTCTGCTCAGCCTGATAGATTACTTCCAAGTGTGGGCTCAGGTTGGTGTCCTTGCGGGACTGGACCCATTTGGGAAGCTGTGGGGCCCTTCATGTGGGACCCAAGGCAGACTTGAGCCTTCCAGACCACTGACATAGGAAGATGTGTCTGCACAGCTCCATTTCACAGGGAAGCCTAGATGACGGCCACACTAATGATCCTTGTTGACCCGAAGCCCAGCTCACGGCTGACGGATTTATACACTTTGTCTGCAAGGGAGATTCTGCGGCTATTATTCCCTCTTTATGACGAGGACATTAAGACCCAGAGAAGGTAGGGTCCTTGCCCAAAGTCACACAGCAAATCCTTATTGGAGACTGGGACTGAGCGGGTTTGGTTTTTATTTATTTATTTATTTATTTAGTTAGTTAGTTAGTTAGTTAAATTTGCTACTTCGGTTTTTAAAAACATTTTGGAGAGTGGGGAGGGGTGCCATAGAGACACGGATTTCATTGTTTTTCTTTTTAAAGCCAAATCAAGATACTATCGGCTCATGTACATTGAGCCCTTACTGTGTGCCAGGCCCTGTGCTGGTATTTTATATCTTTGGAGGGAGGCGTTGAGTATCTCCATCCTATAGGTGAGGAAATGGAGGCAGGGCCAAGGTCACGTAGCCTAAAGGGGGTGAACAGGATGGTGCCTAGCACGGTCTGACTCTTGGAGCTCAAGCTCTTAGATGCCTCTCACGCTGGGGCCAGGTCAGAGTTGGACCTTGGGTCCATTGTGAGATCGTGCTGCACCTCACCCTGCCTTGTGAACTAAATAAAACCCTAAGCCTGGACTTGAAACCCCAAACTCATGTGGGCTGATGTCAGCTGGAGGATCTGCTGACTAAGGTTGAAGTCTGGGTAATGCCAGCAGGACTGACCCTGCCCGCCTCGCCCCTTGATTCTGCTTGGCTGGCCTCTGCGCACCTTGCTCCTTGTCGGCCTGCCACTCCGAGTGCATGGATGGAGGCTCCCTAGAGGCTGGCCAGTTTGCAGACTCTGGCTTAGTCAATCTGTCTCGTTTGGCAGCCTCTGACCTAGACCTTGGCCCAGCTTCCTGCCCCAGCGCTGCTGCCTCCTCCTCTTCTAGCTTCCCCTGGCTCTCCTGAGGGTCTCTGAGCTTCTGAGTGGCCTGGGGAAGCTGCAGGTATCTCAGGGGGCCTGCTGTGTGTCTGGCTGTGGGCACTCCGGGACCTGGTTCTCAACCTTGCCCTGCCACTGATTTGCTGTGTGGCTTTCGGCAAATCCCTGCCCCTCTCTGTGCTTTATTTTCTCATTGGTGAAATGAGGGCTTTGACTGGAAAAGCTCAGCTATTCCCTGCGACTTGAGTTCTTGCTTTGTAGCCTTGGGCAAGTCTTTGCCCAACTGTGTGCCCCAGTTTCCCCACAAAGAAAGTATTAGGTTACTCCAGCCTGGGTGCTGGGTGGCTTTGGGCTGGTCCCTTGACATCTCTGAGACACAGTTTCCTCATCTGGGGGCTGAGGCCTGCCTTCCTCACAGGGTGGCCTTGAGAATCACATGGGGCAGACAGATGTGGACACCCCCGGGTGTTTGTACAACAGGGAGATGGCTGGTTGTCCTGGGCTTCCAATGCCACCTCTCTCCAGAGCCTCCCCTCTCCAGCAGAGACCACCATGTGAGCTTGTGCCCCTGTCTGAGCGTGCGTGCAGCAATTACACGGCTGAGTATTCCTCATGGCCTTGGTCACACTCCCTTTGCTGTCCGGAAGGCACCCTCAACCCTCTGCTTCAGCCTAGAGCCATCCCCACTGAGCCCCCAGGTCTGGGTGCTCACCTGTACTCTGACCGGTCTTTGGAGAGCTCTCGTAGCCTGCTTTCTCCTTGCCTCGACTTCTCAATCTTCATAATGGGCTGAAGACTATGACAGAGGCAGCTCAGAAGAACCAGGAGCCAGGGATCCGGGTTCGAGTCCAGACTGTGCAACTGTGGGCAAGGACCTCTTCCTCTGGGCCTTGGCAGTGAGGAAGGGGGAGCATATCCTATTGGCTATGTGTCTTCTCAGGGTCATGGTCAAGGTGAGGTCCAACGGCAGCCTTGGAGCAAGAAGCTCCGCAGGCTCTCAGGTCCCACCGTACCCTGTAGGGGAAGATTCCTTCTGACCTGGGAGTCAGGATCCTAGGCCTGGCTGTGTGACCTTGAGCAGAGGCCTTTGCTTCTCTGGCCTGTCTTCCCATCTGCACGGTGGGAATGGAAGGGAGCTGAGCCCTATCCCCCACTGGCAGCCTTTCCCGTTGGCCTCCCCTCACTCACTCCCTCTGGACCCGTCCCTGTCCCCTTTGGTTGCTTTTGGATGTGAGGCCTCTGTGGCTGCCCCGCCTTGTCCCCGGTCTGCTCTCCTGCTCTCTTCCTTACTCTTTCTGCCTCTCTCTCTCACCACCCCCATCTCTGCCTCTTCTTTCCTATTGGGCTCTCGCTTTCTCCTCTCTCCTCTGTGTCTCTGGACCCCCGCTCCAGCCAGACCTGGTTCACATTCAGATGGCTGCAAAGGTACTTTGCCCCCTCCCCACTCCCACCTAGGCCCAGGGGACCCGACCGTGTGGGGAGCTCCTCTGCCCCTGTCCCCATCTCCTCCTCGTGGGACAATTAGTGTAGAAGTGCCCTGGGCATTGGGGCTCTGCCACCTCAGCCCCTCTGACATGACTCTGTGTGACTCTGGGCAAGCCCCAGCCCCCTTTGGCCTCAGTTTCCCCTGTAGACAGGTAGGCTGCAGGGGGAGGCCTATAGCTTTCTGCTGAGGAGCCCCTTAGGGATGGCCAGTGGTTTGTGACAAAAGGCAAGCATTGTTCTAGTTGATGGGGTTAGTGCCTGGATTGTCACCAATCCCCCAAAGGGCCATCCCCTACCTCCACCCAGGTCTCATCTGCTTCCAAATCTCAGGCTTGGGGAGGCTTTGAAGATCTGACTTGATATCTGTCTTAGGCAGGAATCAACTCTCCTGTTACAACTTGCTTGCTTCCCAGAGACAGGGAGCTCCCTCCCTCATTCCCCAGACAGCTCCTGGCATCTGGAGACGTCTTGGTCTAGCTGAAGGGAAGCAAATTACTTCCCATCCCAGGACTCTGCCCCTGTGAATTTAGGCCTCAGGCTGACCTTGGTCAGTCCTGCCATAGTCCTGGACGAAGTCCGTCTGAGTCAGCTTGGGCCAAGAGGCATCTGGGCTGGGGAGAGAAAGAGTCCCAGGCTTGGCCTGGCAGCACGAGAGCTCAAGCTGGCCCTGCAGCTCCCAGTGCCTCACTTGGCCTTGGGGACCCCCAGCACAGCACCTGTGAAGACTATAGCATTGGGGCCCCCCACTGATGTCTCCTCCTCTGCTCCTTCCCTTTCCCCCTCCTTAGAGAGGGTGACTGGTGGCTGGCCCACTCGCTCAGCACGGGACAGACGGGTTACATCCCCAGCAACTATGTGGCGCCCTCCGACTCTATCCAGGCTGAAGAGTGAGTATGCAACCTGGACTCCTGCCCGCCCCCTACCTGCTGGTTGGGAGCTTCTCTCCCGGGCTGCAGTGGGTGGTCTGGTTGCCTTGGGCCCCAGCCACATCCTAGAGAAAGGCGCAGTTGGGCTATGGAAGCCAAAATCACCAATGCCACCTTCCTTTCTCCTGCCCCAGGTGGTACTTTGGCAAGATCACCAGACGGGAGTCAGAGCGGTTACTGCTCAATGCGGAGAACCCAAGAGGGACCTTCCTGGTGCGAGAAAGTGAGACCACGAAAGGTAGGAGCACTCCTGCTGGCCACTGGGAATGGAGTCTTTTGTGGGTTGTTTGAGCTGGGTATTGTGGAGTGAATAGGAGGTTGGTACCTGGAGTGGAGTAGGAAGAGCCCTCCAGGAGGAGAAAGGGGCAGGAGAGGCAGGGAGCTACAGCTGAGGAACACTGAGCTAGCTGGGGGTGGCCAGAGATGCGGTAAACGATGACACTTAGCCTCTCTGGCCTCAGTTTCCTCAGATGACGTATGGGTGCAGGCTGTCGGGAGGCCTGAGGGTCATGCAGCAAAAGACTTGTTCCCTGGGTGGGTGCTGATGAAGTAGGCCCCTCTTGGTCTTCTTCTCCAGAGGCTTCTAGAGCTGGAGTAGGTGCTAGGAGCCGGCTTTGCCCTTCTGCGGCAGTCCGGGTTCCTGTTCCCCTTCTGTCCCTCCCCCAGCCATAGAACACGGGTCACCTCTTTCTCTTTAGCCCTTGGCCAGTGGGTTGCTGGTGACCCAGCTGCGTGGAAACAAAGCTGGGCCACGTCGTGTGGGTTTAGGGTTCAGTGGGAGATGGGAAGCAGGGCCTCCTGCTACGTGTGTGCACATGTGAGCAGCTGTGTGGCCGTGCAGGCCATGTGTGAGTCCAGGCGTGTGTGTGCACGTGGAGGGGGATTTGTCTGGGTGTTGTTGTGTGGGAATGGATTGTTGTGGGTTTGCCTTTGTGCCTAGGGGCCTGGGGAGTGTGTCCCTGTATGAGCGTGGGGCTGCTGGATGTGGGCATGCCTGTGTGTGTGCACAGACACACATGGGCAGGACCTGGCTTTCAGCTCAGGCCACGGGCATCCATGTGTACATGGCCTGGGCCATCTGTTAGCTATGGTTGCCCGATGTAGGCTCTAGAGACCTGGTTGCTGTCCTGTGTGCCTGACTTGCTGGGTGACCTGAAGCAAGCTGCTTTCCCTCTCTGGTCTCATTTTCCCCTTCTTTATACTGGAGATGGTAAGCTACACCTGAGCATTACCCAGAGCGCCATGGGCTGTGGGGGGCTGTACCCCACCTTCTGGAGTGGGCTTTCTCCGGCTCTTGAAGCCTCAATCCCAGGGCTCTCTTGGACTCTGGTTAACAGAGGCTCCTAGCCAGGCCTGCTAGGCAGGAGGAAAATTTCCCAGCCAAAAGCTTTTCCAGGCTCAAGAGAGGCAGGGAAGGGGTCACCAGGGATGGCCCCTGAGCCTTGGTGGCATGTAGGCTATACCCAGTGTGTGGCTTCCTGCCCATGCCACAGCCTCAGCCAACCACCCGCTCCTGCCTGAGCCTGGGGTCCAGGAAGGTGTGGGGCCCAGAGTTCTCCCATGGGAGGGGAAGCAGGCAAGCCAGGGACACACAGCCACTAGGGCCATTCCTGGCTCCCGGCAAACATTTATTGAGCACCTACTATGTGCCAGGCCCTCTCACATGTGGTCTCAGATCTTCCTGACATCCGAGGGAGTCGCCCTGTCGTGCAGAGGAGGAAACTGAGCCCTAGAGCGGGCAGGTGACTTGTCCGGGTCCCACAGTTGGGGTATACATTCAGTCTTGGAGGTCTTGCCAGGGTCAGGAATGCCTGGGGAGGGTCTCTGATCAGGGGCCCCTTGGCTCACTGGGTCCCGCCTTGATGGCCACCCCAGGACTGGGTACTCAGAGAGAGGGTAGGCCAGACCTGGCTCAGCCCAGGGCTGGGCTGCCGCTCTGGCCTCCCAGTCCTCCAGTGCTGGGCAGGTCCAGAAGGGCACTTAGTCCTGTGGCCTGGAGGGATGGGGGATGCTGGGCATGGGGGTCACTGCTCCTCTCTGTCCCCGCCCTGCAGGAGCCTACTGCCTCTCCGTGTCTGATTTTGACAATGCCAAGGGCCTCAACGTGAAGCACTACAAGATCCGCAAGCTGGACAGCGGTGGCTTCTACATCACCTCCCGCACCCAGTTCAACAGTCTGCAGCAGCTGGTGGCCTACTACTCCAGTGAGGGCCAGGCGGGCAGGCGCTGGGTTGGGGGCGCCACCTTCCACACAGGGTCTGGGGGTGGGGGTGGTGCTTTGGGGCCAAGAAGGCCTGGGGCTTCTATAATCCTGAGAGTGTGGGGCTCCTTCTCCCCACCCCACCCCTCCTTTTTCTTTCTTTCTCCCCCTCTGCTCCTCCTTCTTCTTTTTCCTCCTCTTTCCTCCCTGTCCCCTCCCCCCACCATGCCCACCCTCCTCTTTTCTCCTCCTTTGCAGCTAGCTGGGGAGGGGGACGCTGCCTAGAGGGGAGCAGGGAAGGGAGGGGGCTTAGGCTGGTGTTGGTTGTCTCTGCAGCCCTAAGACCGGTCTGAACCGGTTACTGGGAGAGGAGGTGGTGGCTAGACCTGGCTGCTGCTGAGGGAGGGAGCGCGCAGGAGGCAGGCCAGGGAGCCAGGGCAAGGGAGCCAGGTCAAGGGCTCCCAGTATGTGTATACACACACACACACACACACACACACACGCACGTGCGCGCACACACGCACAGGTGCAGGTCGTTGGGGCGGGCATGCGGACTTCCCTGGGGGCCCTGAAGGTCAAGGGTCAGTGTGTCCTCATATGGGTGGGTCTCTATGAGTCCCCACGTGGCTGTGGCCATGGCTTCCATGTGCAGGTATGGCCTATCTCTAGAACACCAGTTACTCCTCATCCTGGGCCACCTCCTTCTCTGTCCACTGGGCCTCCTGACACCCTCCGCCACCTGGCACCCCTCTGCTTCCTTGGCTGTCATTGCACAGTTCATTCTGAACACTGGTCCTGACAGCAAAACCTTCCCGAGGTTACCTGGGAATCTCAGGATAAAGACCCCCACGTGGCGTCTGAGGCTGTGGGTGCTCTAGGCCTGGCCGGCCTCCCTGCCTTCCCCAGGGCCCCTTGTTCCTATTCACTCCTTTGCAGCCCCTCCGGCCTCCTTCCTGTTCATGCAACCTAGAGGCTTGTTTCTCTCTCGGGACCTTGGCACATGCACGAGGTGGTGTGCCCTCTGCTTGGAGTGGCCCCTAGTCAACCACTCACTTTCCTGCAGCTCCAAGCTCAGGTGACACTTCCTCCGGGAAGCCTTCCAAGACTCCACCCAGCCTACCTGCTGTTGCACACACTGCTTTCCTCCATCACACTCGTGGCCCTGGGAGATGATGAAGTGAAGCTGGGCTCCTCCTGCACTGGGAGCTCCCTGAGGGCAGGATTCTCCTGGGCTTGTCCCCCACTGTGTCCTTGGTGCTCACCGAGGTGACCACCCCTTAAAGTCTGATTAACGAATACGTGAATAACTCCGGGAGCAGAAGCCCGAGGCAGTGTGAGGGGGTGGTGACAGCCCCTGATGACACCTGCCTGGCCTCGAGGGCAGCCCACGTGTCCCCAGAGCCTGCGTGCATCCCATGTGTATGTCACACTGTGGGACAGAGAGGCCCCAGAGCAGATGCCTGGCCTGAACTCTACCTCCCTTCCTCTGTCTTCAGAACATGCTGATGGCCTGTGCCACCGCCTCACCACCGTGTGCCCCACGTCCAAGCCCCAGACTCAGGGCCTGGCCAAGGATGCCTGGGAGATCCCTCGGGAGTCCCTACGGCTGGAGGTCAAGCTGGGCCAGGGCTGTTTCGGAGAGGTGTGGATGGGTAAGACCTTGACCCTGCCCCCCAGAAGAAGCCATGGTCCTCTTGTGGGGGGGGCTTTGGTGTCCCCAGCAGAGAACCAGGCGGATGTCCATCCCACGGGACAGCCCGAGGCCCCCCTGCTTTACTACCATGAGTCTCTGTTGCCCCTACTGAACACTGGGCTCTCTTTTACATGTGGAGCTCCCCCACACCTCTTGCAGACCATGGCACCTGTTTGCCAAGAGCTGCTCGGGGCTGGGCATCACGATTCCCCGAAGATGCTGTGTGGTCTGGGCCAGCTGGCTCCACTCTGTGTCTGTCTTCCTCAGTGTGAAATGGGGGCGGGGATAAGAGGATCCACTCTGGGGTGTGAGTGAACGCTGCCCCCCACCCCATGCATCCACAAGTTAGCACTTAGCCATGGGAAGAGACGCCTCTGCTCACAGAGGGAGGGCTTGGAAGCCCAGGGTCTGGCATGTTCTGGGCCTGTTAACGCTCTCCTGTCTAACCCTGGAGAAATGGCAAACTGTCTTTTGAAAACAAACACCATGCAGCCCTGACAAAACCCAGGCCACCTTCTGCTGCCTGGTTCCTGCTGACACAGAGGGATCGGGGAGGCTGGCGTGAGGCAGGCCTGATGTGTAGGAGCCCATGGCTTCTGCTGTGGAATCACCGTGTGCCAGTCTCGTAAGCCACTGCGTGCACTTGGCATGCACTTGGCGTGCACTTGGCATCTATGTTCCTCCCTTCGGGGAAGAGCAGAGAGGGCTGCTGGGTGGAGGTCAGGCCAAGTCAGGAAAGGGGAGGTGCTGGCTTTGAGCTGGGGAGAGGGGAGAGGGATGTTCCGGGGGCTGGAAAAATCCATTCCTGGCCTGTGTGTGTGGTAGCAGCAGGCCAACTCAGGGAGAGCCAGGTACAGATCCCCAGACATCCTGTGCTGCAAGGACCCTAGAGCTAGGCCTGGGCCCCAGCCCTTGGGTGGAGGCCCAGAGACTGGGAGGAATGGGTCTTGGGCCACTCATCAAAGCACCTTGGGTCCAGTTGGCACAAGAACTCGGATTCAACATGCTGGGCTAGCACACGGCTTCCCCTAAAGCCTCAGAGTTTGAAAACCGTGATAATAATCAAATGACAAGTGTAGCTCTTATTTACGGAGCCCTCATGGCGGGCTGGGCCCAGTGCCTAGAATCTCACTTAATTCTCAAACAGCCCCCTGTCTCCCCTGGGGGGGAGACACTCTAACATCCAAATTTCCCAGGCAAGAAAACAGGCCCGGAGGAGGGAAAGGACCGCCCCGCGGTCTCACAGCTATCAGGAGGCAGAGCTGGGAGTCAGACCCTGGCTGGTCTGACCTCTGAGCCCTCGTGGGCCTGGCCCAGGTCAGGCCTTACTTTTTGAGAGTGTGGCTCAAGACATGTTCTTGTTGCAGTGGTTTTGTTCTGAGGCCGGCTCTGCCTCCCCTCCCCAGCCCCATTCATGTGCTCACTCCCGACTCACCTTCCGCACGCTTCCTGGAAGGAACGTGGTCTCTCAGGAGACAGTGGTTGAGTTAGAGCCATGATCTTCCATCTGTCAGGCACGTGTGTGGCTTTTGGGGACACTCCCACTGATGGCAGCCCCAACAACAGCTCAGCGACTGCTGTTTCTTGACCGTGTACCAGAGACTCATCTCATCCTTGTAATAGCCTCCTGTGGAGTGTCCCGTGGGCCTCGGCTGGACTGGTCACATGGCTAGGCAGGCCCCTCTGGGGCCCCGTGGGATGAGATTAGGGACACCGTCACTGAGGCAGCCTGCTGCACCCCTTGCCGCCGCAGGGACCTGGAACGGAACCACCAGAGTGGCCATCAAAACCCTGAAGCCAGGCACGATGTCTCCAGAGGCCTTCCTGCAGGAGGCCCAGGTCATGAAGAAACTGAGGCATGAGAAGCTCGTGCAGCTGTACGCTGTGGTGTCCGAGGAGCCCATCTACATCGTTACGGAGTACATGAGCAAGGGTAAGACCCAGGCGACTGGCACAAAGATGCATGGGGCAGCCCCTTTCCAGACCGGGGGGGGGGGGCATGCGCTTCCCATCCCCCCAGATCTAGGGTGTATGTTTTAAAAGGTGGAATGGAGTAGAACCAACTTCTTACGCCAATGGTTGCCTTTCTCATTTCCTTTTGTTTTTAATGATTTCCCACAATGTACTTTGTCTCCTCCCCTTGGCTGGTTTTCCAATGCCACCTGCCGCTCTGCGGCTAAAGAGAAGTCCTCCAGCCATCCAAGCTGGGCCACATCTAGGTCAAGGTCCTGGCTTGACCTGTACTTAATTTTTAAATTAATTCAATTGTTCAAAATTTGCCTTTTGGAGGCATAATTTACAAATGATAAAATACACCATGTTAAGGGTCCAGTTCCGTGAGTTTTAACAAATGGACCCTCTGGGGATCCCTTACCACAGTCGAGCTACAGGAGCTTTCCATTGCCTGGTGCAGGCAGTGGCCTCCAGCCCTAGAGCCAGGCAGTAACTCATGCCCTCTGCCATCATAGGTTTGTTTATTCTAGAATTTCACGTTGCTATCTTTTACATCCGAGGTTTATCCTTGTCCCATGTATCCGTAGTCTGTCCCTTTTTTAATTGCTGGGTAATATCTGTGATGGGGACAGACCACAGTTTCTGTTCTCCTGGAGACATTTGGTTGTTTCCTATCCCGCTTTGCCTGCTGAGTGACAGATGCTGAGGGAGACTTTATTCAGAGGTGGGTTTGCCTGAAATGAGCGCCGCTTACACCGAGGCTGACCTGCCCCGGGCGGACGGGATCCGGGAGTCATTGCTTCCTGGCTCTGGGAGGGCAGGGCAGGGGCTAGTTAGTGCCGCTTCCTCTCTGTCCAGGGAGCCTGCTGGACTTTCTCAAGGGGGAGACAGGGAAGTACCTGCGGCTGCCGCAGCTGGTGGACATGGCTGCTCAGGTGAGTGAGCCCCTCCCACCTCTCACAGCCTCGGTCCCGCTCACCTCCGCCGCTGCCGCCTCTTGAGCGCCCCCTCCAGGCGGCAT